CCAACCTTTTAAGCATTAGAATCTTATTTTTTTTACATATATTTTTTATTGATTTCAGAGAGGAAGATAGAGGGAGAGAGAGTTAGAAACATCAATGATGAGAGGGAATCATTGATCAGCTGTCTCCTGCACGCCCCCTATTGGGGATCAAGCCTGCAACCTGGGCATGTGCACTAAACCAGAATCAAACCTGGGACCCTTCAGTTCACAGGCTGACACTTCATCCACTGAGCCAAACCTGCTAGGCCAGAATCTTTTTTTAAGGTAAGAAAAATTTTAAGGAATCCCTTGAAAATAGTTTTACTTTTTAAAGTCGCTTTCCCCCCCTTTCTTTTAAGTAGCTTATGATTGAGAAAATACATGATAAAGATTAAGCAACACAAAAAAATTAAGCAACAGTAAAAGTTTAGAGGACCCCCTCTTTAAAATTTTTTTGAATAGGTAGTATATGAACTTGATATAAATTCACAAGTTATAAAAGGGAGTACCATGAAAAGTATCCTTCTTGTACCCCATTCCTCAGTCACACAGTACCCTTTCCAGAGCCAACTATTGTTTTAATTACTGCTGTCTTTTCAAAGGTAATCTATGCTCTGCAAATATTTATATATTTATATATGTTTAAAAAAGACAAAAATGGTAGCATATCTTGACACTCTTCTTCACCTTGATTCAGTCTTCTTCATCCTAGACAGTCTTGTTATACTTTAAAATGGAAAAAAAAGAGAGAGAATGATTTTTGTTTTTTTTGTTTGTTTGTTTTTGGTAAATCATCACCCGAAGATATTTTTCCCATTGCCTATTTTAGAGAGAGTGGGAGGGAGGAAGAGAGAGAGAGAGAGAGAGAGAGAGAGAGAGAGAGAGAGAAAGAGAGACACATCAATTGGTATGGGACCTTGATTGTGAATCAACCCCTCAGTGGGCAGGCTGATGCTCAAAACCTGCTAGGGCAAAAATATGTGTTTTTTAAAAATCCTCCCCCCCAAGGATATTTTTCTATTGTTTTTAGAGAGAGTAGAAGGGAGAAGGGAGGGGAGAGAGAGAGAGAGAAACATCAATGTGAGACACATTGATCTGTTGCCTCCTGCACATGCCCAGACTGGGGCTGGGCATTGAACCTGCAATCCAGGTATGTGCCCTTGACCGGGTATCGATCCTGTGACCTTTTGGTGTGAGGGCTAATGCTCTAACCACTTAACTACTTTGGCCAAGGCAAGAATATATATGTATTTTTATTCCCCCCAGTGGTATCTACTAATGAAAAGTTGCATTGCATTTTCATTACAAATAATTTTTTAAATTGATTTCAGAGAGAGGGGTGGAGAGAGATAGAGAGGGAGGGAGAGAGAGAGAGGTTTTGTTTCCACTTATTTATGCATTCATTGGTTGATTCTTGTAGGGGCCCTAATAGGGGATTGAACCCACAACTGTGACATATTGGGCTGACACTCTAACCAACTGAGCTACCCAGACAGGGCTGCATTACATTTTTAAACATACAGATAGTCTTAGTGTGCAATAACTACACACCACTTAGATTCTCAGCTCTTAGATTGAAAATCACTGGTATAAGTAAAATATCAATAATATTCAACCTTAATTTTGGTCCTTCCTCTGCACCAGGCATTGTTCTAGCACTCTACACTTATCTCACATAATCTACATCCTTCAAATCCTTTCCCTCTCAGTTTAAATGTTATCTCCTCATTGTAGCCTTCCCTTATCCAAGTAGACCTACCCTCTTCCCTTTCTATTATTCCCTATCATTTCATCCTGTTTATTTCCTTCAGGACACGTATCACCCTAAGTAATTTAGTTACCTATTCATCTACTTGTTTACTGCTGTCTTCCCAACTAGAGTATGAACTTTGAGAGCAGACAGTGTCAATTTGGTTCACTGCAGTCTTACCCAGTGACCAGCACTGTGCTTGGCACAGAGGGGCCATTCTATTGGATAGTCGTTGAATATGTACATAATGAGCAAAAAACCCAACTTTATGTAGTAGACCCTCTTATTACCTCCACTATATGGGTGAGGAAACAGGCCTGGAGAGTGAAGTAGACTCATTCCAACGTTAGTAAGTTAAAAAAAATTGGATTGAAGCTTAGCTCTGCTTGACCCCAGAGCACAAGGTCTTCCCCACTATTTTGGTCTCAGAAACAGAAGATTGAGTACAGTCTTGGCTGTGTGTGATCTTGACTAAGTCCCTTTTTCTCCCTGGGACTATTTCTTCCACTAAAAACTGAGAGGGTGGAGTTAGTGGTCTTCTTTATAGCGATGTACAAGATCTGTGATCTATGAAATGAAAAGGGGGACAATGAAGGGGCCAACAAGATGGGCTGTGCCTTTAAAAGAGCTGATTTTCAGTTCACTAAAGATTTGCTCCTCATTATTCTATGCCAGGAACCGTGTTGGATGTCCCTTTGGATAGGAATCCAAAGACTAATAGGACATAGTCCCCACTGTTAAGATGACTGTTCTGATGGGTCTAATGCAGCCTGGCTAACAACAGTTGCTTAAAGTACAGTATAAGTCTGATGCTTAACGTATAGTGTGCTTGAAGTACAGTTGCTTAAAAGTAAAGTACAGTTGCTTAAAGTACAGTATGAGGCACATGGTAACATGGAAGAGGAAGAATTAGTCTCATCATGTATGTATATGGGAATAGAAGGGAGGGGTGAGATATAATGCTGAGCTGAGCCTTGGGGAAAAAATAGTTTTCTACATGGACACAGGCGATAGAGTGGTGAAAGCCTGGGGCGGGGGGGGGGGGGGATAGAAGGGGTCAATGGGGGGGAAGAAGGGGACATATGTAATACTTTCAACAATAAAGATTTAATTGCCCGGCTGGTGTGGCTCACTGGTTGAGCATCAACCTATGAACCAGGAGGTCACGGGTTCATTTCCCAGTCAGGGCACATGCATGGGTTGCAGGCTCAATCCCAGTGTGGGATGTGCAGGAGGCAGCGGATCAATGATTCTCTCTCATCATTGATGTTTCTGTCTCTCTCCCTCTCCCTTCTTCTCTGAAATTAAAAAAAAAAATTTTTTTTTAAAGATTTAATTTTAAAAAGGAAAAAAAGAATAGTTTTCTAGGTGAACAAGATGGTGGTGAGACTTCCTGGACATGAGACATTACGTGCAGAAGCACACCAAGAAACAGTGCAGTGTGCTGAGGGTTGTTAGGGTAAGTGTTTGGCTTTCAGAGTGTGGATCTGGTTAGGTTGAGAGAGCCCATGAAGAGTCATGCTGAAGAGCTTGGACTTAATTCCTGAGAGCAGAGGCATTAGCATATCATGTTTACATTCTGGCAGTAATGTAATAATTCTGGCAGCAGATGATGGAGGAGGGTGATGAGGTGAGGTGTAGAAACTGGTTAAGAGGCTTTGCAGTAGTCCAGGTGAGGGATGGTGAGCACCTGGACCTACAGTATTCATGGCAGAGTTGGAGAGAAGCTATATAAATGGCAGACATTTTAAAATGCAGAGCCAAAGGATTTGGTGATTGATTAGATGAGGGAAAATAAGACAAGAATAAATGATTTATTGGAATAGATTGGGTTGCCAAGTATAAAAAGGTGCCATTAATAATTACAGGGAATTTGGAGTGGGGTGGGAGATAATGCTGCTGGCTTTGGGCATGCTCAGTTTGAGGACTTACACAGCCAGGAGGAAGGGTCCTTCCTTTCCAGAATGACAGTCCTAGCCTAAGTCAGACATCCTTGGGCCAGTCTCCTGAAATAAAAGTCTCCAAAACCTCACTGGAGTTCCTGAGCTGAACATCCTTCAAGCATATAAGCTGCGTATTGAAAACTTCCTGGACCCTTACTGATAGGAAGAGAATAGATCGTGGACTTGCTTTTTAAAATCAGATACTGACTCCAGTGGAGCAAACTCTCCTGCCTCTTATAAGCACCACACTTTAAAAATAAGCCAGCTCTGGCTCTCAGGTTGGCTCCAGGAAGCCCCCATCTCCTTAGGGAGCGGCCTTTTAAAAGATGGAGTTGCAGCCCTGGTCAGTGTGGTTAAGTGGTTAGAGCGTCGACGGGTGCACTGAAGTATGGTAGATTCAATTCCCAGTCAAGGGCACGTATCTGGGTTGCAGGTTCATCCCAGACTCCGTGACTAGGGGTGAGTGTGGGAGGCAACCAATCCATGTATCTCTCACATCGATGTTTCTCTCTCTCTCTCTCTTTCTCTCTCTCTCTCTCCCTCCCAACCCTTACACTCTCTCTAAAAATCAATGGAAAAAAATATCCTCGGGTGGGGATTAACAACAACAAAAAGATGAGGTTGCAGCCTGGCCCCCCTGGTAGCTGGAGAGAACCCAGATCTTGGGGGGCTGGACCCTCTCCCAACCACTAATCCTGGTATGGTGTTCTCAATGCCAAAACAAGACCCCATGTAGCCCCAACTCTTTGCAAAAGACGGGACTGAGATCCCCAGCACTCACCTGGCGGTGGCAGGGCCTAGCACATGGGCTCGATGAGGGGCCGTCCTTTAGGGTCCTCCCAGGGAAGGGGACAACCCAGGAGGCGGGAGGCTACAGCCGGTGGCCAAAGGCAGGGGAACGCCCTGTTTCCCACTCCCCAAGTTCATAGGAGGGTGGCAGAATCCGTTATCTCTACTCCGCCCCCTCTTCACGCACTACTCCACTGTCACGCCGATAAATCCCAGGAGCAAAGGGTAGCACGATCCTTCCCGCGCCCCTGCGGGCCCAGAAACTGGGCGCTAAAGCAGTGCAGTCCCCAGCTTTCCCTGCAGAAGCCGCGCTCCTCGCTTGGTCCGGAGGTAGAGGGGGCGCGAGAGAGCAAGTGGGCGGGTGTCCCATCCTCCGCATCCTCCTCCAGGTCCTGGCGCGCAGGGTGGGAGCGCTGCGCCGCTCCGCGCTGCGCACCGCGGCCCGCTTGCCGCCTGCCCCTTGCCCAGCTGGGCCACGTCCCCGGGCTGCGGGTGGAGGGCTACGAGGCACTAACGTTACGCTGTTTCCGGTTTTTCAGCAGGCTCTGTTTCCCCTCCCAAGGCGGCGGCTGAGCGGCGGAGCCCCCCAAATGGCCTGGCCAGATGCGGCAGGTTTGCTGCTCAGCGCTGCCGCCGCCGCCACTGGAGAAGGCTCCGTGCAGCAGCTACAGCGACAGCAGCAGCAACAGCAGCAGCAAGAGGAGCAGCAGCAGCAGCGAGAGCAGCAGCAGGAGCAGCAGCAGCAGCAGCCACAGCAGCATCTCCCGTCCCGCTGCGCCCCCAGAGCCGCGGCCGCCGCAACAGCCGCAGCCCCGCAGCCCCGCAGCCCGGAGAGCCGCCGCCCGCTCGCGAGCCGCAGCCGCCGGCGGCATGAGGCGCGACCCGGCCCCCGGCTTCTCCATGCTGCTCTTCGGTGTGTCGCTTGCCTGCTACTCGCCTAGCCTCAAGTCGGTGCAGGACCAGGCGTACAAGGCACCCGTGGTGGTGGAGGGCAAGGTACAGGGGCTGGCGCCGGCCGGCGGATCCAGCTCCAACAGCACCCGTGAGCCGCCCGCCTCGGGTCGAGTGGCGCTGGTGAAGGTGCTGGACAAGTGGCCGCTCCGGAGCGGGGGGCTGCAGCGCGAGCAGGTGATCAGCGTG